TTCCCCAATGTAGGGGAAAATGTCATAAGGTGGAAACATTCGCTGTCAGCGGCGCCATTTTGAATTCATCGCGCGCAAAACGCCCGCCATTTTTGTATACGAGTATTGCTATCCTAATGCGAGCATAAATGTCAAATTGCAATGGTTGCCTGCAAAAATAACGGTCTAAACCATATAGTCTAGTCGACAAGTTGAAAATGGAACAAAATAGAGATACTGCTCTTAAAATTATGTGCGATAGCTCATTCGAACCGGAATGACCCTAGAAAAATGTGCTAAAAGCGTGTATTACACATAAAAAATTCAAAAAGTTATAGACCATTAAAGATGAAAAAAATGGAATTTAGTTTTTTACCAATATTTAATAAACATAATATTTAAGAAATTTCAAATAAAGATTCTGAAAGAGGAGGAAATTTCCAATAAAAACTCTCAGCTCCCGGAACTCTATCTCCATTATTTATAACTTTAATTTAACCTGAAAATAGGTCTGTGCGTGACATTTTTAGGATTCGCGCGTGGCGTCAAAAGCGACTACGGCACATTAATTAATTTATTTAAGGTATTGAATATTTTTTTTAAATTTGAAAAATTATGGTGTGTTCTGAACACTATAATTAATTTATTCCCGTTGGAAATTTTACTTAAAAAGTTAATTTTTCAACAAGTAAAATAATTGTTAACTAACGAAATTTTCTCGAACGACCGTCTTAATTGTAAGTAAAAAAATGTTTTAATAATGGTCGTAAAAATATTTCGCTTCGTAGAGCCTTTCTTACATACATACTTAACAAGATCGTGCCATAAAAGTTAAAAAAATATTTATACTTTGTTTATAACAATTTTTTACTTAAACAAAAACTTAAAAATCCAAGTAATGTTGTTAAAAAAATTTTTTTCTAAATCATCATATTATCGTTTTTATATTAATACAAATATTTATTGATTTGCAAAAAAAAATTTCCCCTCCATTGTTGATAATTTTTTTAAACAAATTGAATTAAATCAATTGTTTTAAAAAAAATTTTCTAACTTTATTACATTACAAATATTATGATTGTTTAAAAAAAAAAATTTCCTTAATAACATATTTTAATTGTTTATAATCGTTTATTTCTATTGTTAAATAATTAGTTAAGAAAAATTTTTTTCTAAAAATCATAATTGACAGTCCTCTAAAAGTAACAAAAAAATTTTTTTATCAAAATTCTATTGTTTATTAACTTACCAATTTGTTATAAACAAATGTTCAACTTTTTTTTTTTTTCTAAAACTTCTAAAATTAACAAAAAATTTAAAAAGTCTATAAAAAAAAAAAAATTTTTAATAAAATAATATTCATGATAATCAAAAAATTTAAAAAAATGTTTTTCTATATTTTGTTTATATGGTTGTTTTGTTAATTTTAGAAGTTTTAAAAAAATATAAAATTGAACATTTGTTTATAACAAATTGGTAAGTTAATAAACAATAAATTGTTGATTAAAAAAAAAAATTTTTTGTTACTTTATAGAGGACTGTCAATTATGATTTTTAAAAAAAAATTTCTTAACTAATTATTTAAACAATAGAAATATAAAAAAACGATTATAAACAATTAAAATATGTTATTAAGGAAATTTTTTTTTAAACAATCATAATATTTGTAATGTAATAAAGTTTGTGAAAATTTTTTTTAAAACAATTGATTTAATCAATTTGTTTAAAAAAACTAGGGAAATTTTTTTGCAAATCAATAAATATCTTGTATTAATATAAAAACGATAATATGATGATTTAGAAAAAAATTTTTTTAACAATTACTTGAATTTTTAAGTTTTTGTTTAAGTAAAAAAATTGTTATAAACAAAGTATAATATTTCTTTAACTTTTATGGCACGATCTTGTTAAGTATGTATGTAAGAAAGGCTCTACGAAGCGAAATATTTTTACGACCATTATTAAAACATTTTTTTTCACTTACAATTAAGACGGTCGTTCGAGAAAATTTCGTTAGTTAACAATTATTTAACTTGTTGAAAAATTAACTTTAAGTAAAATTTCCAAGGGAATAAATTAATTATAGTGTTCAGAACACACCATAATTTTTTCAAATTTAAAAAAATATTCAATACCTTAATAAATAATAATGTGCCGTAGTCGCTTTTGACGCCAGCGCGAATCCTAAAAATGTCACAGATCTATTTTCAGCGTTAAATTAAAGTTATAAATAATGGAGATAGAGTTCAGGAGCTGAGAGTTTTTATTGGAAATTTCCTCTCTTTCAGATCTTTATTTGAAATTTCTTAAATATTAATAGTTTATTAAATATTGGTAAAAAACTAAATCCATTTTTTCATCTTTAATGGTCTATAACTTTTGCAATTTTTTATGTGCTAATACACGCTTTTAGCACATTTTTCTAGGCGTCATTCCGGTTCGAATGAGCTATCGTACACTATTTTAAGAGCAGTATCTCTATTTTGTTCCATTTTCAACTTGTCGTCTAAACCATACGTGATCTGAACGAGTAATTAGTTTTTATTTTGTATCGTTTTACCTAACATAAATTCGCTCGCTACTGGCCATAAAAGGCTTATTATCTAATCCTATATGTTATCTAAACAGTTTCTTTTTATATTTTTTAGTTTCAAAAACAAATGGTAATGAGTATATTTTATATAAACTTGCATATTACATATCTGAGTAAAATGGAAGGCTGTTCTTCCTCCGAGCTAAAATTGGATCTTTGACCAGTCTAACCAGTAACTGGTTGACCCGAAAGCCCCAAAACCTAAGGTCGAGAATTTGTATACAGCCTTTGCAGTTGGAATAACTTTGTTAGCGTGATTCAGGGTTTGACGTCTTCGTACTGATTGTAGCCTCGTATTTCGCTAACTTTCCATTGTACACCCATATTCATAAGTGACCCGATGTCCAAATACTTTCACCCAAGATATCGAAATCGAGCGGGCACCCCGCTAATAAGTCTCTGCTCCTCTAGGGCAGTAGCATCTTAGTTAAAATTAAAATAGTTGTGGATTTAATTATTTTTTTCGTCGACGACCAGTCACTTTCCGAGCGGCTTGATCCCTTGGCGTTGCGTAGAGATGTGGGGTCTCTCTGCATCTTCTACCGAATTTACCATGAAGAGTATTCAAAGGAGTTGTTTGGACTACTACCCGCAACTGAGTTTCATCATCGGACGTCAAGGAGGAATACAAATTTCCACCCCGACACCTCGACGGCCGTCGTTCCACATCTGAGCGTTTAAGGCAGTTTGTCCGCACACCACCACTATGTGGAACCAGCAGCCCACTGAAGAACCAATAAATTCTACTAAGGGTCCTTCAAAAAAAGAGGGTACCTATTCTTAAAAGTCTGGCAACGCACTTGCGAGCCATCTGGCAATGCGAATGTCCATGGTGGACATCAGATGAGCCTCCTAGCCCGTTTGCTTTTTGAAAAAAAAAATATATTATGTTTGTGTTTTTTACTCGCTGTAATGTAAATGCTTGCTTCTATTTGGTCCACTGATTGCCAATAGTTACTTTATTATTACATTTTGTCCCAATATGTCATTTTCCTTGTACACCAAAGCTTGACGAAGATTTTCCTGCCCGTTCTTAGACCGTCCCTTTTTAATGAAATGGACGTGTTTAGTTACCAAAATTATTAAATAAATTTTAATTTGATTTTATATGACGTATAATAAGTGAGCTATTATTTATATAAAATCACAAGGACGAAACTAATTTGCATGGGAACAATCTTTAGTCCTCTCTAAGTGAAGGGATAAATTCTGAGCCGCGCCTATAGCCCGTTACCTTTTACAGGCCTAGAATATGCTAGTTGCTACACCTTTGGTACACTTGTGGACACAAATATTAAGGCTACTTTCTATTATTTGTGACGCTTTTAAGTGTAGTTAACGGTTCATATCATTTCCATACTGCATGGTCATCTACAGGCCAATTATCTCGCTGTTGCGATGGCGGCCATTTAATAAAAGCCGTTGTTATGTTCCATATAAATTTAAACAGACAATGATAATATAAATTTATTGGTTCTTTTTTTAAATGTATTACTACTAGAAACGGTGTAGAAGATTATGTATGTACATGAATAATCACACGTCATTGATCTAATTTCTGATATCGACTAAATAAAAGAGAATCGATAAATTATTTTATACATGTTTTAATATTTTATAGTTTTGTTAACAATTTAAAATAAAAGGACTTGTTTCAAATATTCTTACTGAAATATGTAGGAGGTTCACAGTATCAGAAGTATTTATTCAGCACATCATAGCCACATTTGAGCTTCTGGAAGAAGCTTAAGACTGGCTTAATTAGCCATGTCTTAACGCATATAGACCAAATAATATAGCCTAAACTGAGTCCACGCGAAAAATTCTCGTAACAAAAGCTCTTGTATATTTTATGTACTAAATCTAACTTTCTATTTCTATTTTCATTAGTAGTTGTATTTTAAAATTTACGCCTAAATACTGTCTTTTGTTTGTAGCATTTCAATCAAACTTTTGTCACTAAATTCCCAAGGAGCCACACTGCACGATTTGGTTCGTCGTTTCTTGTAAAAACTGCAAAGGAGTAGAACGCCTTGCCACCTTCCATTTTCCCTAGACAGTTTAATATAAGTCCATTCAAGCGGCGGTTAAATATGCATGTCCTGGACAAACATGCACTCCATTAGGCCATAGTACATCTCCCATAGCATCAGATGGGATTGTGTCTGGATACGTATATCCAGTTCTGTATAAAAAACCTTCATAACAGAACAGGTATAGACTTTCAACAATACCAATCGTTCTACAAAACATGTACGCGAGTGTAATCCTACAACGTTCGCAGCTCGGTACATTCAAAGAGATTTGCGAGATAAAATGCGATAGTAATATTATTTGCATTTACCTATACAGATTTAAGTAACGCGAGCGATGTTAGGTTTCTATTAGATTTATATACAGCGATATATGAATGTGATAAAATAAACAGATGAGCTTATCCTACATGCGTCTTATGGATTTAGGTAACAATTTACCTGGCTTAATCATAATTATTAATTTGGAGCATAAAGCGGCTGAAAGCCAACACTTAGCGGGAGGTGGCACAAGACTGGAGGAAGAGGAAGGCGAGTCCCAGACTTATTTGGTCACAGCACCAGCTGAGTGAGTGTGGAATTTGGAGCATGAATATTTATATAAAATCAGCCTTAACACTGATCAATCATTCATTTGTTACAGGTAAATTCAAATAAATTTAATTTCAATTAGGCCTACATAAATGGCACTTTTGAAAGTCAAAATTACAATTTAAATTAATTTTAAAATAAATTACTCTAGTTGCCTCCAAATGGTAGTGTATGGAGAAGAATGGGCAACAAACTCTTTCTAATATTAACATAACAAACTTTTAAAACACGCGTTGCGTACTCCTACAGCAAACTTAAAATCTATATAACAAAAAAAAATATACTAAGGATGGAAAGATGGACTACATAATATAAAGGTTCAAACAATTACGAAACTCAGAAAGGAAAAAATCAATAAAAAATATTAAAAACATTTAATTGCGCAATACCTAATTGGGCTGTGTTGTGTGATGGTTTGAAAGTGAAGGTATCTACTTGAGGATTTGCTCATGATACAGGGTATTCAGGGCGTAGATATTAAAAACTCAGTTTTTTGCATACCTAGTTGTTGTTGATGTGAGGAACGTGAAACAAAGCTCGATTACGAGTCTAGTAGACCAGCGCAATTTTTAAAATCCAAAAATGAATGAACTTTTTACATAATATTTTGAAATATCAACCGATACGTTAGAATATAGGTACGTAGTTATATTGTTAGTTTAATAAGGCTTGGTTTTCATAAAGTTTTCAATTGTATAAATAAAGTACGATCGTTCTGATTAAAGCAGTCAGTTTGGCGAAATCTTGAAGTTAAATAAAAGGAATGAATTAAAACTTTTATCTCTGAGAACGGCGTTCAACTACTTTGATTCGCATAGCAATTGTCAGTTGTGTGTATTGCCATACAGGTGTGGCGAAATAAATGGATAATATGGTCCTCGCGCATAGAGGAAGGAAAAAGCTGTTGATTCTTCAATGAATCGACATAATTGTATACATTCGCGGCATTTAATACAAAATATTTTTTTAAATATTTACAGCATTTTTCTTAATTATAATTTTGCAGTTAATTTTTCTTTAAAAAAATAAATAAATATAAATCAGTGGCCTCTGGGCCTCAGATTTTTGAACCTGTTTCATGATCATTTGTCAATCTAATAGGCGATCAGGTGATCGGCCTCCTGTGCCTGACACACGTCGTCGAATTTTTTGAATCTAACGCAAGCCGGTTTCCACACGATGTTTTCCTTCACCGTTCGAGCGATTGTTAAATGCGCACATCGAACCTACAACCTCAGGGATGAGTGTCACACGCTGAAGCCACTAGGCCATCACAACTCTTTTAATAAAGATAAAACGCAACTGTATTAACCATTTATTACGCTACCTTTATAATAGCAATAAAATTGGTTTTCTCTCCACACAGTTTTAAAAATCAACTTATATGAACCTATAACATTACATGAATTCTGTAATCACACACTCTTTAAATTGTATCAATAAACGATAAAAACTCATACAAGATAAAGTTTATTTTTAAACCGGCTTCAATCCTGTTCCGCAGGCTCTTACGCGTGGTGAGCGATAGGGATAGACATACGATATCAACTTATGTATGAAAGGGACAGATAAAGTCGCGTGGCTGCAAAAACGGAAGATGCTTATTAAAGAGAATTGCAATTCTATCTGGTTATTCAAGATCTTTGAATAAAATTGTTGTGAGAAAATCTATAGCTATTTACTTGAGAATATAAATTTGTGTGCTTTTTATGGGGAGGCAAATCAGCAGGGGGTTAGCCGCCTTTGGACACTTGCAATGCTGGGGGCTAGCGGCAACCTTTGGGGGAACAGAGTCTGCTCTTTTCTTTAAGATTCCTAAGTCGTTTTGATTAAAAATACCTCTGCTGGCAGCTGGTTCGACAAAGTGCGCGGCAGAAAAATGAGTCAGGTTGTGAATTGCCAGGCGTTGAGGTTCGGAAAAGAATTTTACCTTCAGGTGACGTAATTCACTGAAATACAATTTAATTATTTATTAATTTCGAAATCCTACAGCTAATATAAACTAAATAAAACAAAACAAAAAACTATATATAATCAAAAAACTTATATATTCAAACATTTACAAAAGGAAAAAATCTATAAAATTATTAAATACATTTATCTAAGTAATACCTAATTCGAATGTGTTGTGTGATGGTGTGAAAGTGAGGGTATGTACGTTCATGTGTGTATCTTCGGTGTGCTCTTAATTCTTAGTCTTACACAAGTAATCCAAGCCTTAATCGTGAAGTGTCAAATGATTTTAATATCACAAAACAAATTCTAATGAAATTAGGATCTATAAGTAAACACCTACCATTTTAAGTACACAAAGTCCGTAACGTATATTAATGTTGTAATAAACTTTCTTTTGTTTTAATTAACAGCTTGTCATTTGTTTTTATTATATATCTAAGTATTTTCATATATTTCTTATGTCACAGGAGGCAAACAGGCAGGCTCATCTTATGTTAAGTGATACCGCCGCCCATGGACACTCGCACTGCCAGAAGACTCGCTGGCACGCTGCCGACCTTTTAAGAATTGGTACGCTCTTTTCTTGAAGTAACCTAAGTCGAATTGGTTCGGAAATACTACAGTGGGAGGCTGGTTCCAGATAGTGGTGGTGCGCGGCAGAAATTGCCTTAAGAAAGGCTCAGTTCTGGAACGACTTCAAGGTGATATTTTGTATTCTGCCTTTTCATCCGATGAGTCTTCTTTGACATTGTTTAATTTAAAAGTCTTACTAAGTACTAAGTTAGCTAAGCGTTTTGCTCACCTCCAGTTGTCTTCCATTATAAAATAGTCCATAAAATCTAACAATTTGTTTAATAACTCAGGCAATCTCTAAACTTCCTACGTCGAGACGTCCTGCCGCAATAAATAGTAATTAAATGCTATTACTGCTCTCGGCTAAACATACAGTCTAGTCTAGTAATACTATGAGAATATCAACCTAACATGGAATTAACTGTATAGAGAAAATAGACAAGATCGAACAGCCATCTTTGTCACACGGTGGGGTATTCAACGGGTTTATTTCCAAGTAAAAATGTGAAAATCTTTGCGTCAATTGTGAGTCGTTGAGGAAAATCCATTGATTCCGCAATTTTCTTTAACACTGCCTATAGTCCATTTAAATGTTACAATTTGAGGGACAAACTGAACATTTGTTAGAGGACGCAATTTTATTTATGGAATATGTAGGGGAGTCAATACAAGCTTAAACCCAAGTTTGTGGGTTTGACGCCCTTGTCTCCCCGCCGCCATCTTGAAAAAAGTTATTAAGTTCCTATATTTAAAAACTTTCAGCTTTAACTAAAAATCTCTAAAACCTATCCTCTGTGTTTGAACCTAATCAGTCTCCTAAAATACACTTTTGAAAATAATTTATATTTAAAAAATAAATATATTTTGAATTTTTTGTGGGTGAAAATACTAATTGCTTTATATTTTGCTAGGTTCGCACCAGTTACGACATTTGAATAAACTACAAATAACAAAAAAAATTATCGATTTATCTCGTACCGCACCCGAAGATAGTTCAATATTGTAGTAAGTAGTTGAATAAAATAATTTAGATCGATTCTAAAAGTTTTATTAATTATGCAAAGTGTTTTCTTAAAACATGGTACACATTGATTGCTTGCACAATACATTACGCGCAAATGGTAACAATTGTTTAGTTTTTTTAGAAGCGTCAGTGATGTTTAACTGCTTGCTCAACGAAAAAGTTTATCGTTAAATATTTCATAATCAATCAATTATTATTAGTCAATGGGGGCAAATTTGAACATTTTCCAAAAATTTTTACTGACATACATTATCCGGCGTTGATTTTTTGTTAGAAACCTCACCAATAAAATGTTTTTTACACTTTTTTCTTTAAAACTTAATCACTCATTGTTTATCAAAAATAATCCACACCTGATATATACGCGAGTGTTATTTCCAAAACTGCCGGATTCCCAATGTCGATTCTAGGACAACACTAAAAATCCATCCTCCATCTCTTGCGTCTACGAGGTGTACGATTTCACGAGTACAGACATATCTCCTGACGCAAGGAATTAAAACAATTACAGTACTGTGCGTTAGGGACCTATCCATCTCTAATTTATTTTTTTAAATCCTTAATTCAGCTTTAAGTACGAAGCAAATATGTATATTTGTCCTGCTCATCCTTAAAGAACTTTACAAGTTACATCCTCCCGCAAGGAGTGAAAAAACACGATTATGTTCAACGCACAATACAAAAGTCCTGCAAGAGATCTGATAGATCTCGTAATGCAACGAACGTGTTAAGCAAAAATGGAATATTTCCACCTTTTTACTCATAACTTTTGAATTTGGCTTTATGATAAAATTCATACAGACATAATTGTAGGCAAAGCGATTTGCTACAAAATATATTTTACAAATTTTTTATACGATGGATAGTTTAGGAGATATAGCCAAAAACGTGTTTTCACCCCTTTTTCCAAGATGGCGGCCGGGGGAAAAGGGCGCCAACCCCACAAACTTGGGTTTAAGCTTGTATTGACCCCCTCCCCCTACATGTTCCATAAACAAAATTGCGTCCTCTAACAAATGTACAGCAAATGTAACATTTCAATGGACTACTAATATTTTTTATTTATGGTACTTTGCATAGAATTACTTTTATCAATTTATACATTTTACTGTATTGTGTTTGTGTTAATAAGTTTTATTTATTTTGCTTAAATGCTCTTACTAAGCGCGAAGTAATCCGCGAACCCGCTATAAGTATTCCAATATGTCAAATGCAAAGAAATTTTGACATATGGAAGTCATACTTAGTCTCAACTCGGAATGAACCCTAAGGTCATGATAGATAATGTCTATCATCCCTCGTATGAACAGTACGAGATAAAATTAATATCATATATTATAAGAATTTAAAATTATGGAGCGTCACAGATTACATCTGCCGACTTATTTCAATTTTGTCTTTAATTAAAAGTAAATTAAATGATTGACAGTAGATATATTTATTATTCCAAATTTAAATATATGTGCTAGTTCAATGAATATATTTGAATACTAAAAATAATTTTCAGTATTCAAATATATTATTGATGTTTGTATTAAATAATGTTTCAATTCATTAGAGTAAGTTGTTGTTGTCTTTCGCCCGGGTTCAACCATTCGTATTTGATACGTCGTAGATTTTTGGAACAAGACAGCAGTCAAATATCGGTTT